TGGAACCCAGGGTGGTGATCCAGGCCTTTCCTCTGCCTATCTTACTCTCCATCTCTTTTCTTCACCAGATTTTATGGGCCATTTAGTCCTTTACAAGATAATAACATCAAATAGCTCCTGTTATAAACAACAAGGTTTAATCCGTTTCTGCCAGATAGCTTCTGCTGTCAGTAAAACATTTCAATTGATCATTTGGTCTTGCATCACCATAATTTAGCCCAAGTGTACTTCAGATTGGCAATTTGCAAGTGGTTCATCGAGGACAGGACTCTCTGGGCCCCCACATTTTTAAATTGGTGTCATGGACAGGATACCCTTGGTGGTGCTGAAGGGACTGGTGGGACCAGGTGACCCATGACCCCTCATCCGAGAATCAACATATTCCAGTGAGGAATAATAGGCTAAAAAGGGATCTGTTCCCTGTATTTGTAGGTTTTCACAGGGATCAGCTACCTGAATTTGTAGGTTTTTTTACTATGGTCTGCCTGGGAGATCCGGTCATATTAGGCCAGGAATTACTGGCCTGACCCACATGCTCATAGAATTGCAATCTTAGCTAAAGAGTTACCTCCAAAACTGTAAAGGTTAAACACTATCCTCTCCCTCTACGGGATAAAGAAGGGATCTCCCCCGTGATTTCAGATCTAAAGGGGAAAGAAATAGTTCTCCCTGTAATTCCTTTAATTCTCCTGTTTGGCCTGTACCCAAGCGGGACAGCAGGTGGCGACCAACAGTTGATTATCGGCACCTGAATGCTAACACAGGTCCCTTAACCACTGTCGTGCCAAACACAGCAAAACTGACTAAACCATCCAGGAACAAGCCACAATTCTGGCAAGCACTGATATCGAGGATACGTTCTTTATGTTTCCCTTGTGAGAGGTGGACAAAGAGTGCTTTGCTTTTACCCGGGAAGGTATACAGTAATCATCCACTCATCTCCCTCAGGGATATTCATTGCCCATTATGCCTGAGCACAAGAGTTTGCCCAAATTACCCCCAGGGAAGAAGTCAAAATATATTAGTATATTGATGATGTGCTGAATGGTGGCCCCAGTGTCTCTGTGATGGGGCAGACTCAAAAGGATACAGCTGTCCATTTCAAACGTTTGGGAGGCCAGATTCTAACAGAACAGATAATACTGCCCTCCTCTAAGGCAACATTTCTGGGTAGCTGGTGAAGGGGAAGGAGTATGCATTCCCCCCTGAAACCCTTGAACAGGGGAAAGTGCTTGGAAACAAGAAAACTTCAGCGTGCTAAACCATACAGCTGGAGAATAGTGTGTTACCATACACGGTGCCACAGCTACAATCAAGAAAGAGCAGGAAAAGATGAAGAACACATCAGAACAGAATGAACACCTCCTCAAGGCCATGCAGCCTAAGGACTGGTTTGAGGGACTCAGTCCTGAATTCTCTCTTTTCCTATCTATTGGGCTCATGGGGTGAGGGAGATGACTTGTAAATATTGGATTTATGTTATTGTGCAGGATTTCATTCACTCCCTCTCTTCTCCCTCTTCACCCTGTTATGGGCCATTCAGCCCTCTGCAAAATAATAATGTCCAAATATCTCCTGTTATAAACAAGATTTACTCAGTTTCTGCCATCAATAAAACTTTTCAATTGATCACTTGATGTTGCATCACCTTAGCTTAGCCCAAGAATGCTTTGAATGTCAGCAGTCTCCAGAGCAGGCCATCTAGGATAGCCCTCTCTGGACCCCCACAGCATTTTAAAATAAAAAATAAAAAAAATTACCAAGTAATTTTTCATGGAACGATTGCAGTCATGTTGCAATGAAAAATACACCAAAATTAAGACTGTTGATAGAGTAAAAGTAAGCTTCTGTTTTGCAATGTAAAACTAGAGCTTCATCAATTAAATATTAAAATTTCAGGTTAGGCTTTACCTGGTATATATCAGATCCTTTCAAATCCTCTTTCTCTTAGGTCATTTCCAGAGAAAGGAAGGAATAAATATTTCCTATCTATACATGTTCCTGTATATCTTCATTAGTTTCTGTGATCTACACCTGCTACACTCACGCCTTCGGAAACTCATCACCTTTGCAAGATCTCTAACATTTATAGTGTTTGAGTTTAGTAATGTGACAGAATGGTCAGGCTTCAGTTGGTTTCTGAAAGAAAAAGTTACCTTCTTCTAAGGTAATCCACACCTCCCCAACAGATTAGAAAAAGTTATACTCAGACCCTGTTTTTATTCTGTTGTAGAAGAGAATTTACATAATGAGTGGATGCCTTTGTTAATCTTTGTTGTTGTTTCTATCTAGATTCTATGATGTATTTCTATGACCAAAACAACAATGAAAATGTCTTTTGAATGAAACTACAAAAACCCTCCCTGCTCCCCCCTGCCCCAAGTGCTTATGAAAAAAATAAGGATTAGCTTAACTAAAGCCCTGTTACTCTTATAGAATGACAATATAATTCAGTCTCATTCACTATCATTACCAAGGCAAGGAGGAAGAGTATTTGGAGATCTGGAATTTATTAAAATGTAGAGCTTCTAAGATTAGCAACAAACTAAGGAAATCTACAGGTTCTCAGAAGTGCTGAAAAATATTACTTAAAGCATGCAAGTTAGGGATGGTCTCATCTTCACAAATTAGCTGTCAGTCTTTACTACAAGCTGTATAAAGTTATTTGCTTAGCACAATCGCTATTGAGTTAAACTCTGCAACTTATAAATAAGTCATCGCTCCCAGCACACATAGATCAACACACACTTGATATATGCTCATTCATATTACATTTTGTGAGGAGGCTGTTTTGAACCAACAGAATAGTTGGCTATTAAGATTCAAAATCAGATGTCAGACTGAAACTTTCTTTAACAAAGTTGTATTTATCTTTTTGCTCTTCTTTGAGCAGGGGCTTGCACCAAGTGACCTCTGGAGGTTTCTTCCAACTTATACTAATCTGTGATTTCAATAATGTCCTTTATATTTCTTGCTTAAATTGGCCTGAGAATGATTGAAGAATTTCTTTTAAGATCAGTTTTTGCATTCACTCATGCTACCTATAAAGTTTTACATGTTAAAAAAGGTTAAACAAACTTCAGTAGCCCATTAAAGATGATTCTAAGGTTTTAAATTAACATGAACTATAAAATATTTCATTTAATCATTAATGTTTTGGCAAACCACACGTAAACACTTCAAAATACAACAATAAAGTTCATGTGAGAAATAACAGACATGCTGAGATCACTATTAGAGGCAGTAATTCACATTCTGGTATAATATAAGTTATATGAAGTCTGTACAGACTTCTAGATGCTTGGACAACAGCAGGAAGTATGCTTTCTTTCTAATATTTATGTGATGCACCTTAATTGACATGAAGTGATAAATAACCACATTTTTATACGTAAATCCTCTTATATTAGATCCGCAAAACATCTGAACACCAAGTTCAGAATCTTCAAGATGAAGCTCATTGGTGTATAACACAGAAGTACTCTTCAGAACTCCTCATAACAAAAGTAACACCAAAGTAACAATCACATCTAGCCTCCTTTATTTATTAAAAATAAAAGCAAAGTTACATATTTTCATGCAATTTGGTGAAAAAATCAAAGTCCAAAAAATAAAACCCCTGACAAACAAAATTGAAGTGTGTGAAGTATTCATTATATGAGGTTTTGTTTGTTAGAATTTTATATTTTTCTTTATTAAAGATTTTTACCTCTTTTCAAGATGGTATGAGAAATGCTGAAACATATTCCACTAGCTGTGAAAAATTCCTCCTCAGAAACAACATTCATAGGACCACAACTGAGGTTGTAAGTTCCTGCAAATAACTCTAGCCCAAAATATGCTTTAAAAAAAGCTTTAAGTAGCGCATTACAGCATATCTTCTTCTAAGGATATTAGCAGTACTGAAGATTCACTCATTTTAGTGCATAAAGCTTGCTCTCTAACTGCAGGTCTATACCAATTATTAGTAGTTTCACTAACACCATTGATAATACTCAGTTTGGGCCATTGCTTTACAGAAAGACAAATAATCTTAAACACTTACTACACTGTGTGTGCTGATCACTACAGCTTCAGAGAAAGGAAATGAGTCCCACTAAAACTGAATACAGGGCAGGTCGTATGTAAGTGAAGGCATGAGGTTCCAAGTATCTTGTCAGAATCCAGTTTCATGTGGGAGACTACAAAATTACTGTGATTGAACTACCCTTCTTTCCCACTCCTAAGCCACAATTCTGAGGTATTTTTCAGCGCACAAGCTTCATATTCCCCTCCACCAAAAGTCTCCATATTACATACATAAACACAGATATTTTAGTTTTCCATTTTGAAGAGTTTTGTGCATATTAGGAAAAAAAAAAAAGCATAGGAAAACATGCACATTTTATGAACTCTGTTCCCAAAAAATATCTTAAAATACTTGCAAAAAAAGCATATTCTCATGGGTCATTTGAGCTACTATGCTCTTGCATACATAGTAAGAATATTCTCAACATAAATAACTTGTTTGCTGAGTGAACTTCAAGATACAAATTGAAGTAATACACTTGAATGTTTCAAGCACTAAGTTTGCTCAAGCCAGAAGGCTGCTCTGCGCGGATTTTTCACTGTTTGTGTATTGCACATGTCTCTCAAATAGAGTAATTAACAGATCACAGTTTTATTTCTTCTAAGCGAACTGGTCACTTACCAGAGAAAACAAGAGCACAAAAGTGACAGCATCACAAATACTACATCTAACAACACAAAATTAATTTACTATACCCCTACTGTTAGGTTAGACCTTCTTGGTGTCTACACCCAGCAGCTCCCTCTTCCTCCTTGGGCAGCCTGGTGCAGAAGGTGCTGCTGAGCTGCACGCCTAGCAAATGGGATAGCACATCTGGGCTTCCCAGTTCCCCTCTGTCAGCTGCATATCTGATCACTGGAGCAGCCCACGAGGTGCTCCCATCACCCCCAATTCAGACCTCTCAAAACAACAGCAAGAAAAGAGAGCTTACCTGTTTAACACTGACATCAATCCATCTGCTTATGATTCCTGTGAACGCCTTCCAGCAAAGCATCTCTTCCAAACACAGCCTTATTCTACATATTTGTCCATCAGAAGATATTCTCTGCAGCCCAGCTGAAGTTACCCATATGTTCATCCACAAGTCATTAAGATTGTGAAACTATTTTTGCCTTCTGTTGTGCAGTCCCACTATAGAGCACTTGCAGCAGAGTTCCCCCCTCAGCCCCATCAATAAAAACCCTTTTCATAGGGGCTCTCCTTTATATATAATTACTTCAAGCACCTGGGTACAAGGCTGTTATAATTACTGTCAGTTGTGTAAGCAGGAGAGCTTAGTATGACTGCTGGAAGAAGAGTTAGCTCTTAAGTGTAAAATCCTGGTGGCTATTTGCCCCTTCGAGAGAGCTAATAGAAGAGTTAATGGCCTGATGGAAGGAACCGCAAGTGAGTATCAGTGATGCAAGTAGCTAACAATTTAATACGAACACCAGGAATCCCCTCAGAATGGTTCTATGGGTTTTTATGCCATTCTCATTGCCTTGGTGAAGTCCTTGTGTTACAGTCATGGAGGTGTTCTTCCTCCTCCTCATCTTCCTCCTTCTGAGAGACATCCACGACACTGTGGCCTTGGGGCCTCCCTGGTGCTGCAGGATCTCCTGAGACACGTTGCATTTGAAGCAGTGTTGTTTTCCTGCTTTTCTTCTACAGATGTCTAAATCTGGGTTGTCTCAGTGTGTTGCTAGAGTACATTTTGTATTGTAATGGGTGCCAAAAGTCAGGAAATGCAGTTCTAAGCATGCCAGTGAAAAATATGTCTGGAAACAGTACCATCAGAAGCAAACTGGGAAATGGATTGCTCTCATTCTAAAAGAGAGGGCAACCTCTGAACAGATTGGGTGGGAACAGGTGTAATTTTAACAGTAGTATACCTACAAATACCTACAAGTTTGCGTATTAGGCACTAAGGGAAAAAATGCTCAGAGACACTATATGGGTTTTTGTTTGGGAAAATGAATGGAATCTGCCATGTCAGCAGTGTGTCATGATTGATCTTGATACGGTGCCTCTGGCAACGCACTCAAAGACTATTTTGGTTTAGAGCTAGATTATAGTGTTTTATGCATGAGTATAATGGTGCAATTTATTTTTTTTTTCTCTTTAATTCCAGGCAAACTTGATTTTATGACTGCACAGTTTTTGTCTTCTACATTTGAAGAGAGATCCTTAAGGAGGAGATGATTACATATAAGCCATTACAAGAAGAAAACTGAAAACTGGGGGGAAAAAACTTGTCTGAAAAAAAAAAAAAAAGAAACTGATGAACTGATGACCACATTGTCCAAAAATGACCCCATATCTGAACAAGTGATCCTCAATGATCATATTTTACAAAAATGTTCCTTCATGAATAAAGTATGAATAAAAGAATTGTAACTGTTTGTATTATTAAAGGCTAATTCCAGCTTCAACATGTTAAGAGATTTAGAGCCCCATATTACACAGAGAATAGAACGTGATTTTTATTATAATAACTTAATACTGTCCACAGCTTGGATAATGAGTACGGTAATTTGACAGCACTCCTAGAGGAAAGAACCAGCACACACAAAGTAAAAAAAAAGCTGAAAGATATTACAAAACATGATCATTATTCTAACTTCACCATGAATCCATAGCTGAGGAAAATAACATTCAACCAAGAAAAAGTGTTTACTTGTAATAATGAAAAGATAGTCCTGAAAATTTTAAGGCAGTTATCATAGACGTATTCTGGTGACAGCTACAAATCTGTGCTAGTATTCCACTGAATGGCTAATTCTATTTTATTACCAGAAAAGTGTAGCATTCTGCTGAACATTTTCCTAAGCCAATAGGAAAGCATAGCATTTCCATGCTTCGGATGATCAGAATAGTGTTGAACATGTAATTGTTATCGATAAGCCCATGCTGAAAAGTCATCCATGACTGAAGTACTTACCAAGACCCATTTCTCTCATTTAGCAGCTATTTTGTGTCTTCTATTTGCACAACTGCTCTTGCATTTGTCTGCTATTTTCCCCTACAATGCTGATTTAAATTAAAAAAAAAAAATATATATATATAGGATTTGCTATCACTTTAAGACTTTCAGATGAAAATTTAATTTCATTACAATAAAATTCAATTTTTCAGATTAGAAGGCTAATAAACTTTAATGAGTGTTCTTTTAACTATTTGTGCCTGAATGTGTATGTAACATGTATTAAAAAATAATAATAATAAAAAATAAAAAAATAAAGCCATACTATTCAAAATGACCTTTTTTTTTCAGTTATCTACCTGTAAGATAAATAATAATAATAATAATTACTTAATATAGATTGTTATTCTTCAAGTACAGTGAAATTACTCATTCTCCCAAATAAAATGGCCTGTCTGGAGAGAATCGCAACCTGTAGCTACAGCTGTGCGAGTATCTCTTGATCATCTTTCTTGATATATCACTGATGTATTGAATACCAAATGAAGTGAGATTCTATAATGAGAACAAAGTTTATGTTCACATCCACCTTAAATCTTTTATTCCATAATAGGCACAACATTTTAGAATATCCCTTAGCATAAGTGCTCTGCACAGGCAGTATCTTCTTCAGACTTTTCCAAATAAAACAGTTATTTGTTTAAAGCAACTAAATATTTAAGGTTTGCAAGAATTTCTATTAACATTAACCTTCTGTTAGGAAAACAACAACAACACATCTAATTAACTTTATAATCTAATTTACTTTACTTTTAGCCTTTGTTTTTTCTACTTTTGGACTGTGTTTTCAGTACATAAAAGTTGGAAGTATTAAGGAAGGCTATATCATTACGCAGTAACTGTTAGTTTATCCTTTTCCTTTTAATTGAACAATTCTCAAATAATTCTTTAGAATCACAGAATATGCTGATTTGGAAGGGATCCACAAAGATACTTGTGTCCAAGCATATAGTGCTAACCAAAATAAAAGTTTTTAAATGGTTTGAGTATTTCTATTCTCTAATCTCCTGTGCTCTTAGTATGACTCAAAATGTGGATATTATTAAGTCATTTGACTTCACCCAAATCATTCACTAGATGACACTCTCGTATCATATTAGGTTCTCTTGGCATGCAAGACATCTGATTGGCTCCCTAAAATGAGAACACATTTTAGTGAAAATAATTAAAGACAGTGTTTTATTTTGTTATGAAGTGCCATGTAAAAAACAGTTCTTATGTTTATGCTAATAGCAAACTAAAGTTAAATTTATTCAGTACAGCAATTAATGGTAGAAAGCTGCCTTATGTCTGTCATAAGGGTCAGTAGCCGTATATTCTCCTTAATTTCAGCTATCATGTTCAACACAAGAAAAAAGAACAAGAGTTTTACTCATTTTTTTCCTAATAAGTTATTGCAAGTCTTGTCCATTGCAGATATTCCAGATACAGTAATAGATTCTGTAAGAGAGAGTTATTATTTTTGTATATGTCCTGAAGTAAAAAGCAAAGAACAAATTACAAAATGCAAGTAACTGCTTTCAATTAAAGATAATTCTCGCACCTAATTTAATTGGGAAACTGAAATAATGCTTCTCTTTTTCAGGGCTTACCTGCGAGGTTATGATTCAAAGGAATGTGTCCAGCTATTTATGACAGCTTCTTCTGTACTAATGGAGATAATCTTGAGTTAAGAACCGTCCAGATTTATTTCTGTTGTTAGAACATTTCCAGGTTTATTTCCCCAGCCACTTTGCCAGTCCCCCTCCAGGTTAGGAGACTTGACTCCACCTGATGTGATGGCTGCAGGACAAATTCAGCATGTTTTGTTTCCTCGGATGAAGGTCTATGAAAACAGGAACACAACTGTTCATTGCACCACACTAGAAGTAAAAGTTGTGATAATACACAGAGTGGGCCTCTAAATCTGGCACGTATATAACCAGGAAAAAAAAAAAAAAAAAAAAAAAAAAAACTGCTTCATTTAAGTAATCTACTGTCCCAGAGTTGACCCAAGAGCACTGTGAAGATGAGATCACTCTTTCTCAGCAAAGGACGCTAGCAGTTATGGATGACTGTAGCAACATCACATCTGTATAGTCCCCTTAACCTTGGAATTTAGGAGCTAAGTATATTTTACTCTTTTTGAGAAATCTGTTGCAGAATTCCACTTCTGCAGAAGCAGAACAGTTTATACCCTTGTTTCCTTTGTATAATGTTTGGATTTGTAAGAATTACATGGGCATATCTTTTTGGAAAGTATTTTGTATATTATGAATACTTGTAAGTATTCATTCTTTGTAAGAATTATGTGCAATACCTGCAATACCATTTTATTCTCAGAATGAAATAATTATTTCAAAAAAAAGTAATTTAAGTTTATGCTTCATGAAGATTTAAGTTTTGTTTTGCACTGGGAAAGGTTTTTAAGCCAGTTTGCCAAAACAGTCATATTTTAGAGATAAAATGTGTTTTAGAGTATACATCCAGGTTTCAAACAGAAAAAGATATACTTGGAGTATACTTGAAAGTTGCATCTACACTGTGGCTTTTGTTATCACAGTTTTGTCAGTCAAAAGAAAAATTTATACATATATTTTTAGTTACCTAGTAGCAGTTATTATGACTAGCACACTCTAGTGTTTCATATATTTAGAAGAAGTAAATTAAAAATCCTCATTGCTTATGTAATACTACTGTAAATCTACATTATGGATTATGGTTTGTGCTTTTTTTGAGAATTATATAGATGACATACATGTACATGGTTGCAAAGGACATGTGGGTCTGTTGTCCAAATTCAAAGAGGTGCATGGGTATTTGAGTGCTTAGGAAGTGGCAGCTGCTAGAAGGAACCTGACGGGCATTCATGCCTGAAGAGCTGAAAAGGTCATGACAGATTAGAAGTTTTTTAGCAGCTGAGTTTACACCAGAAGATGCCACTGAATGCTATGAACTTCATTATGTACAGTGACAGATTTTAAGAGTTTAAATTTAAAGTCCTGGTGGGCCTTCCTTAGAGGCAGTGAATCACAATTTTTTAAATAATTTTCAATCAATTTTAGACCAAAGCCAAATTTTTAAAATAGTTTCCTGTGGACTGTAAATAACGTGTTTTGTTTTTTTACTTATTTTGATGTCATCTTTGTACTATTAAATGTGATTCACAAAGATGGAAAGCACAGTTTACACATAATATTTTCAATACTTTCTACTGAATCTATTTCTATTGAATACACAGTTTCAAAGAGGCCACTTTTTAACTTTAAGACCAGATCTGCAAAGGGATTTTATGGCATAAATTTATCTATGTCCAGGATAATAACCCTCCAAAACCTTGCTCATAATTTTTCATCTTTTGACAAATACCAAAGAGTTTCAGACCTAATCTGGTACCTAGTTTTAATTGGGTTCGTCAGAAGTGGCAGCTACTATTGCCCAGTACTAATATGCTCAGTGCACGCCCAGGTCACTAACAATAATGAGACACAGAACACAGAAAGATATTTATGAAAGTCATTTTATGAATTCTAATAAAGGAGTACATTTTGAATTTAAGATGGCATTGACCAAAAACAAATGAAAAAATGTATTCACTGTTAGACATTTCAAATACTTATGTTTTCTATAGCATTCTTGACTTGTTTTTTACTTTCATCATCATACTGATCTCTTAGTTAAAACTTTCATAAGAAATAACATGAAGATAAATACCCCATCTTATTCTTTGTAAGTTTTTATATTTTTATATAAAAATATTACTTTTTATAATATATTTTATAAGTAAAGGCAGGCATGAAAAGAACCAAAATGTGTCTTATTAAGATCATAAATAAATGTCCAAGTTGTTTGCTTAAGTAGCTAGAAAATAATGGCAGTTTTTGGAAAGTGTGATGAATCATGATATTTTCAGCTGTTGAAACCCTTCAACCCATTTTCCACCTCATGAAAGTTGTTCCTCTTGGCTTTCATTGCTGGTGGACAATTATATACCACAAGTTATAAGCAGAGGTCATCTGTGGTCATCTTCTACAGAAAGGTATCCAATGCCTCGTGTGGGAAAACTGAACACATTAAACAGCAGAAGGCAAGACACTGAAGGATAAATGATTCAAAGCATCATTAATTCCTCCAGGTCAATTAGGCCATATGAATGTGCCAAGCAATGGGCTTTTTTTTTTTTCCTGACCCTGTACAGCTGTCAGTCAACTGTCTTACTCTGAGCTAGTTAATTATATATGTCAGTGATGTGTTATTTTAAAGACAGCTCTCAGGTTGACAGTGCAAGCAGATGTCTCTAATAATGATTCAGAAACCAGTAAAAATGTTGCTGATAACTAGGCATTAGAAATAACCTGCTCTAAATCTGCTATTAAAATAAAAGTCTATAGTAGCAAACTGTGAGGAAGAAATGCTGATATATATCTGCATTTGTTCAAAATAGGAGGGGAAAAATAGGAATAGCTTAAACTATTAAAAACAAGCAGAGAATATGCATTAGAACAGTCTTTAGACTCCACTGTCGGCAGCAAGTGTCAATTGTGTGAGACAACATCTCCACTGACAGTTATCCCCTTGAATTTTAGTTTTCTGTGTTAAATTACTCTGCTCTATAAAGTATTGATTGCTTAAGAAATATAGTGAATTTGTAATTCCCTAATTACACTGATCCCACCCTGGCGAACACTTAAACAGCAGGAGAGCGAGCAGCCAAACACACACAAATAATCATAAACGTTTTCATGATGAAAACATACATCAGTAATTTGTTACATCTACAAATGTGAAATATCATCTATTTTAATGATGCCTGTAGTCAAGGCTTTGAAATTTAGATGCTACGTGGTGATAAATATCAGAAAATACTTAGCATTAAATTCACTACTGGGTCATTCCTGGGAATGCAGACACAACGTATATAAATGGCTCTTCTCTCCTTAGATACGTTACATCTTGCTTCTTTGGGTCTGTTTTCTTGGAGTAATTTACTTCTACTAGGTCTGAGTTTTGCCTGATCTTTTTCAGCATGCAAGATTTGGCATGTTGAGATGCTTCTTTTCTTTGAAATCAAGTATTGGTTGAGAATAAATTA